AAATGCCAATCGAGCCTTTTGTATGCGCGCCGACACTTCATTTGTGATGCATCCGCCGGGTGAGATATAACTGCCTAGATAACAAAATTTGTGTAATTCCTCTAATACTTCCCCAGATAGGGTGAGACTGGGCGCTGGATCAACCCAATCTTGTAGTAGCATTTTATTTCCTTATTTCCTTAATACGTATTATTAATCAGTGAACAGCACTATAACGATCGCGCCAAATCTACTTACAGTTCAATTTTCGTATGATCAGAGACATCGTAATTCACGAAAGTTATATGGTTTAAACTCCCATCAACAAAATTTAACAGAGCTTAAGGACCAGGCCCAACAACTCTGAGCATGGACAGCTAAACCGACGCTTGGCTCGAAACACCTGACTAATTAGAGATTAGCTGGTTCACCAACTCAAGTTCCAGGGCCTTGGTCGCCAACTGTCATTATTCCCTCATGATTATGAGGTTTACGCCCCTCTGATGTTCATCACACCATTGTATATGATAAAAAAGTATTTTTGCGTTGAAAAACGCGTTTTACAGTCGAATCTATAATAGAAGAAAAACCTATTAGTCCTGAGAGAAAAGTCTGGAAGTTCGATTACACAAATTCCGAGGAGTACAGATGGCACAATAACGAGCGACGTAACGCATCATTAACTATTAATTTTAAGTCTATTCATTAAACCCAACATTTACATTACATATCGATAACCATCAAACTTCTGCACCACACGGACAACTTACTCCACTGTCCGTTGCCGTAAATCCATTCATCACGTATATGTAGCGCCCGTGAGTTACGCTATCGTGTGCATGTCGAGACAGAGGGTGAGCTGGATCATCGACCCCGGTCCAAAACCGTGTATCCAAATGATCGTTCATGACAACCGACAAGGCAGGTAGACAGTGGACTGCCAAAATCAGATAGCTTCCAGGTTAATCACTCGAAACAGTATTCGATGAGAAAGAGCGAAAACGGTCGGCTTCGGTATGGGGAAAAGCTGGGTAAAAGGATATATGTGCGGTTATTAACATAGCGCAGAGAGATCGTATGATAAAATGAGTGAAAAGAAAAAATGGTCTCTCGTACAATGGTGCATACAAATCGGTTCAAACATACATTTTGTCTCGCCTAACAAACACAGTGAATCAACCAGTCACGTGCATTGGTGGGGTTATAGTCGAAGTCACGCGACATTTATCTTCCATTTACCGTGGAGCTCCTCCTTGAGACATATTTCGCTTCATTACAGAGCCGGAATAAGAGAAATTCAACGCAAAGCGGCATAGTCATCACGCCGAATCAACATTTTATTCGGCATTGTTAGGTCTTAGAAGCACCCTAACGTTCAAGTAACTATATGTTGCATGAGAACGATTCGGTCCCGGGAATATCTCGGACAAAAGCTGCCTACTTGAAGGAATCACCAAGCAGATCCGTGCATGCTATAATGCAGCTGTGGTTTTAAACATGACAACCGTGGATGGATCGAAGGCCCGGGATTTTCATCCCAGAGCTAACGGTGCTAGTCGATATTTTCAATTAACAACTAGGAAGTTAGTGTTATCCTGCGCATGGCATTCGGTGAAGGCCGCGATTTGAAAGCTCGCCTGACGAGGATTTTTTTAATTACACACTTAAGTGTGATGAACGACAGACGGGGTAAACCCCATAATCACGAGAACCTGCTGTTTAGTGATGGAAACCGGTAACCTAAGCCCCAGGACTTGGAGTGGTGAACCACATAAGGCCCCGATAGGTTATGCGTGGTATTGAACTGGACGACAGCAGAGCTGCCTACCATCAAAGTCGGGTGGCGGTGGCGGGGCTCGAACCTCGGACTATAGGGTCTAATGCACGCCGGTGACTAAACCACTGCGCCACCACCACACCTACACAATTTTACGAATGATAACATCACTTCTAGGCAGCACTGTCCAACTCAGATGTTGAAGAATGAATTAGACTGGTGAACTTTCAGAATAATACAGGGGTAACAATCGTCAATTGATCTCTTTATATATTAGGAGTATCCTCGGCTCTGTGACTAAATTTTACACATGTGTGAGTACATGATGAATGTTGGCGGAGACTGATTGCCCCTTCTGTACACAGTGATTTGTGAACTGACAAAACAGTCTTGGGACAATCCACGGGCATTTCGACCTTGTGCATAAATTGGCCGATTGGTAGCATTACGTAGTCTGGATACTACTGTTGAACTAGCTCCACTTGAGTCGCTGTCATCAGAGTGCTTTGG